ATTCCTGATGATGACATAATTAATGTCGAAATATTGAATCCCAACACGATGGCGTGTATTTCAATACTTGGAGTATGTATTATACTTTCTTATCTGAGATTAATCAGTGGACCTTTCGGTTTTTAAACGATCATGCAGTAACTTGAGTCATTAGAGAGTACTTAGTATTTACGTGAATATTTATTTCAGACGCGTTATACTAAAAGGTTATCAGTGAAATGCTTAGGTCAACATTGTTCGTGCTCAATTACATTGAAACTCAAAATATTTTTGCTTATGTACCCGGTATTGTCAACACACACTCCCTCAAATCGTTTTAAAACAGCTTTAATGCTCAGATCGTCAGAGCGCCTGGGGCCACGCCCCCTCGATCCCAGCTGAGCTCCGCCTATGGACCCCGATCCCCTCCCCCAGCCAAATGGTGTAGTTACTCACGCATTTTAAATCTCCCAGGTTGGTAATTATGCTATAACAAAACTTTTAAGGGCCTTTTATTGGCAAATCCGTGGCTCTCTTTAATTAGAATGAAAGTTACATTGGTAACACAAACTGGCGTTAAAACAAACTTATGAAAACCTTAATAAATACTTTTTTTATGTAAACTTTCTAAATTCGCCTCTGAATGTTATTGTCGCAGTACTTAAAGCAATAAATCAATGTTGCTATCAGAATTATCTTCTTCATTCTCATATATACAACCTAACTCCAGAGTAACCGAAGAATCTGCGACGCTTGCTTGAAATTGGAGGTGGCCATCGGACCAAAATGATCACATCGAGCATTTATATGGCGCTCTACAGAACACTGCAGACCTAGTCCTATACAGTTCAAGTGGGCAATAATAAATTAATTAAAGTAGGCCTACAGTATTTAATTTATATTCAAAAGAGAAAGAACCTCCACTAGGATGGTACGGTACATATACAAAGACACACAATAGGCCCTATATGGTACAAACCTGCATTGAACTGTTCTCATAAAGCTTAAACGAGTATAAACTTCATATAGGCCTAAATTATATATATATATATATATATTTCATCCGAACAATTTAAATGATTAAATGTAACTGTTATCATTTAAATAAACTCTCTTACGTCAAATCGGCTAGGGGTCCGTGTACCATAAGGCCTAGATTAAGTGTTAAGTGCAAGTACAAACAAAAGGTACATGATTAGAATCAAACATAGAATTTAAGCTAACAAACACAACATATCCAAAACAAGTCTACGTTATATTATACGGAAGCCCGTTAGTGTCACCAGTGAATTAAAATTTCAGATCCGTTAACTGGCGGCCGCCAGATAATTATCTGGCGACCGCCACTTAATTATCTGGCGGCCGCCAGTTAACTGATTTGACATTTTTATTCACTGTTGACACTAACGGGCTTCCGTAGTTTCATTGTAAATTCTATGTTAACCAAATAATTTATGAAGCATTTAACAATTCAGTGGGCCTAACGCTGGATGTAAATGTAAAACAAAACAAAAGCAGATGCTAATATTATCGCGAGATTACCGCATATTTTTGGTAAGCATAGCTCAGGATGGTTCACACGAGGTGACAAATATCTGTCGAAATGCAGTATAAATAAACTGCAATTAGGACCAGTAAATAATTTTCACACGAACTTACGAATATCTTAATATATCTTAATTAATATATCTTAACATTTCAAATAAGTTAATTACTAAATAATTAATATATAGATATAAACATTGTGACCTTTAACTACATTTTTTTAATCTATTTTAATTTAAAAATACGAAAATCTGCAACGATTTTTTCAGGTCAGAAATTGGCATCAATAAGTAACTTTTCAATCGGGATATTCGTATTTTTTTTTTTCGGTTCATTGAAGTAGCGACGATAAACATATATAATAATTAGTTTATAGTCACATTAATGATGCAAATTATATACAGTATATATAATATATATATATATGTATATATGTATATGTATATGTATATCTATATGTATATGTGTATATCTGTATATATATATATGTATAAATTTATTATTCACATGAATATTTCGGCCTGTCCTTATTAAATTATAAATGTATACATATACATATATATATATATATATATATATATATAATAAAAATGTAATAATAATATATGTATATAATAATAAAAATTATACATATATATATATTTACATATATATATATATATAATTATTATTATAACAACAATAAAAACTACGAACTAATTATTATATGTTTATCGTCGCTATTTCCATGAACCGACAAATACGAAGATCGCGATTGAAAAACTACTACTTTTTGATGCCAATTTCTGACCTGAAAAATTTGTTGCAGGATTCTTGTATTTATAATTAAAATATATTAATAATTTTTTTTATAGGTCACAATGTTTATATCAATCTATTAATTAATTTAGT